AAGGAAAGAAGGAAGAAAGGAAGGAAGGAAGGAAGGAAGGAAGGAAGGAAGGAAGGAAGAAAGGAAGGAAGATAAAAGAAAAGAAAAGAAAAAAGAAACCCATCCACTATTGTTGCACTAGCCCCATATCCACTATTGTTACCTGGATTGGTTGCCTCTCAAGATCCCACACAAATTAGCCAGTTACCCCTCCTAGGTGGAGCTCTCTACAGCAATAGTACTTCAATACCATCCTCATCAATCTGAGGGACTTTTCACCAGCCTGAAGCAATATGAGAAAAATCAGGACAATGCAGTGAGTTCCCATAGAGTTCCATTTATTCAATTTAAAGGTCTGTCCTTTATTATGGGTATATATATATTTTTGGAGTGTTAAAATGTCCCTGTAACTATGGGAATAAAACTATGAACATAGTTTTTTTAAATGCCATTTTCTGGCAAAATAAAACCCTGTGAGTCCCTCTTCCCCACCGCCAGTTTTTTTTTCTCACCAATCTATAAAACCACTGCCCAATAGAAATATAATGCGAGCCATATACACAAATTTTCTAGCAGCCAAATTTTGAAAAAAGAAACAGATGAAATTAACTTTAACATTTAACCCAGTATATCCAAAACATCATTTCAACGTGTTCAGTATAAAACAATTATTAAGATACTTTGTAATTCTTTTTTTCTTTTTACTAAGTCTTAGAAATTGCCAAGCAGGCTGACAGATTCAGCTGGAAAAAAAAACAAAACAAAACAAAGTAAGAAACCCACATATATTCCGACAATTTATTACTCATAGAGACAGCAAAAGCAAGATCAGCAATGGTATCACCTCCCTGCATTCCTTGTCCCACGGGATGACGCCGCAACAGAAGGGGCCCAAGGACACACAACATGAATGGTGGGACATCCTATTGCTGAGTGGCCAATTCCACACTGCCGCTAAGCAGTTTTATGGCCTTTACCCTGCACCCTTTGCGGGTGGTGTGGCAGGCCAAAAGCTCTGTGCCTCACCCGAATGAGGGAGGCCGATGAGAAACTGCCTCCCAGAAGCTTCCGTCGAGATAGGGAGGTGAGTGAGAAATGGTCTTGCAGTGACTTCTCATGAGACGGCCTATCTTCCCGTGTTTCAGGAGAATCACGGGGCATTCTGCCAAGGCCGGGGGCAGCCTGCAGTGGAGCCTCACCTACGTGGCCTGTGTTAATAGTGCAAGGTCGGCAGGGCCCCAGCCCGGAGCAGTTCCCCTGCAGAAACCCAGTGTGTATTTTACACTCACTGCATGTCTCAGTTCGAGCTAGCCAAATGTCAAGGGCTCGAAGCCCGCATGTGGCTGGTGGATACCATATTGGCCAGCGCAGGTCTGTAACATGCAAAATTCAGAATCACGGGACTGTAGAAAAAGAAAACTTCATGAGGCATCACGTGTGTGGGGGGGGAGGGGGTAAGGTGGGGAGTCAGGGCGGCCGTAAGCCTTGGGTGACTGGAGGGCAGTGGTGAAGCAGTTACCCTGGGTTACAGTGAGATGCGGCAGCAGAGGGAATGGAAGGTCACTGCCGATGCGTGGATTTGCCCTTGCCCCTTGGCTGCTGTCTTCCCTTCCATCCTGCCTCTCAGCAGCACAGTTCTGGCTGCTCTTGGGCTGTAGTATTGGACAAGATGCTGAACTAGGGCGCTTCTACCTCTCTCACCTCCAGGTGCCACCTCGCTAGCCTCAGTCTCTCCAGCCATGTCCCCAGGGTGCTTTCTATCTGTTTCTGCTCCAGTCCCCTGCCTTCCTTCATCTGGGAAGGCCTGTCTTCTTTGCAAACCTTGCTTCTTCCCCCACACCTTCTGCCTCTGACACTCAATTCCTTTCTCCCACTCTCCTTCTCATCTTTTAAAGCCTGGGTTTCTGAAAAAAAAAAAATCGAGAGTGAGAGAGAGAGACCACGAGAGCACAGGGAAAGGGGTAGAGGGAGAATCCCAAGTAGGCTCCACGCTCAGCATGGAGCGTGACGTGGGGCTCAATCCCATGACCTGAGCAGAAACCGAGTCAGACGCACAACTGACTGAACCACCCAGGCGCCCCTGAAAAAAAAATCGTTTTTATATCATCTTGGTTTTCAAGCTGTCCTCTAACTTCTCTCCTAATCTTAACTTCATTTGCCCTCAACATGTCTAGCCCCCTTAGTCCCACTTCTTCCCTGCATTTGCCCCCAGCATTCCTTCTGTCTTCCATCCTCCTCCGCGGGCCCTGCCCATACATACTGACCTGCTCTTCACTGCCCCTGGCTTATTAACTTCAACTTGGAATGGGAGCACTAAAAGTGGCATAGAAAACCTGGGAGTACATTTCCTAGAGCAGCGCTGACTCCATCAATTGGGACCATACCTGGGTCTAGCTGGACAACCTCCGGAAAACCCCCAGATGCCTCTTGGTCATAAGCATTATCACCCTTGATTTCCAGATGAGAAAATAACAGAGGCTCTAAGGGGTGGAGGGACTTGCCCAAGGTGAACAGCGGAGCCAGGACTCCAACCTTGTGTTCTTTCCACTATAACGTACTTTGACGCGAATACGGGAGCTGCCATTCTTATCACTTCTCTATACTCTAAATCCCAGTGCTAGATGGTTGATAGGAGATGATTTGCTTGGTTCATTAGGAGTTATCCCAAGGGCTCTTTAGAAGGATGCCCCAGTACAGACACTATCTTCTGTCATTTCCTTTATATAACTTCTTTTTTTTTTAAAGATTTTATTTATTTATTTGAGAGAGCGAGAATGAGAGAGAGCGAGAGAGAGAGCACATGAGAGGGGGAAGGGTCAGAGGGAGAAGCAGACTCCCTGCTGAGCAGGGAGCCCGATGTGGGGCTCGATCCGGGGACTCCAGGATCATGACCTGAGCTGAAGGCAGTCGCTTAACCGACTGAGCCACCCAGGCGCCCCCTTCTGTCATTTCCTAATGGTAGAGTTTATTGCTTGTCTCTCCAGTTTTCCTTTTGGATAGGAGTGCACTCCTCATGGGAGCAGTTTCATAAAGTGACAGCAATCCATTTAAAATGAGAAATTCATTTATTGCTTAAAGAACACAAACGAGAAAACTTTAACAATACAGCAGAAGACAAACAAACCCACCCAGGGTTTTTAAGGGAGGCTTCACAGGCATTTGATTTTTCCTAACCTTTACTGGCAGGGGTTAGGATGAAGAGGCTCAGAATAAGGATAACAGCTCAGAATTTCATCTCTGCTCTAACTATTCTCTTAGCTGGCAAATAATAACCAGACACAATCCTAAAAATGCAACAGAACAAAGATAGCAGCAGCAAGAAATCATCCCTGAGTAGGAAAGCAGCTCCTATTACCTTAACAGAGACAGGACGAAACCTAGCATTAACTGCTGCGAGGTAGGCACTCAATTCACTGTGGCAGGTCCTAGCCTTTGGTAGAAATGATTCGTTCTATGTCTTAGGAAATATTTAAAATTAACAGGAGAAGGGAACTGGAAATATGTGCAAACCACTGTGTGGCCTTCAAGCTGGACTATCTGCTTTGGCAAGCATGGCTGAATCATTTGATGGCACCAACAGAACAGAAGCAATATAAGCAATTCTCAAATTGATAAAGAGAAGCAAAGTTTCATACTGAGTTGGGTTTTTAGGTCTACTACTTTTTTATATTCTGTCCCTTTCTACGCAACCTGCTAAACTCCAAATTTGACTAGCAAGCAGAGATTCAGATAAACAAATACAAATGACTCAACATAAGGCAACAAAAGGGGCAGAAACACGTACAATTCATCCAGTCTTCAGCGGTCTAGACAGTGAATCCCAGGCTCATGGGCCAGGCTGAAGGCTCTCTCACTTCAAAAAATATTTCAATTGTTCCTGTAGGGAAATGAGCTGTAGGGAGAGGCGGGAAAACGTGAAAAAGTCATCTGAAATCTTAAGTTCCGTTACTTGATCTGGAATTTACTTGTAGGAACCAAAAAGAACTACTGTGACTTGGTATTTATAAAGTTATCTTAGTCTTGCAATGTTCCAAAGCACAGCACGTGGTTGAGAATGCACGTACAATGCTGAATGTGGTTTTTTATTGCACCAGACTTATAAAAGGAAGCTTTAAAGTTGAACCTGCTTAAAAATGAAATATGCTTACCGTTAAGACTCTGGGCTTCTGGGAAGAGTGTACAGGGGGATCACTGTAGCCATATTCAGAGTCAGAAAATAAAGCAGCTGGGATAGCCTTTTGTCCCCCTGAACACGCTGACTCTTAAACTAGTCTTAGCTGCTGCTTCTTGCCATGTTATGAGACACTGAGAAACCGAGCCAGAGACCCGACCAGTCAGGAGCCTGATGATGTTCTAGCTGTTTTGGGTCTTTCTAAGTCAGAAGTCCTGAACCTTTCGTGGCATAGGATTTAATTTTTTTTTTTTTTTTTTACTTGAAATGGCAAAGTGACCAATAACATTAAGGGAGGTATACTATCTTTGGGACAAAGATTGTTTCTGAGTATTACTCAATTTAGGTCACTCCATACCAAGTGTAGATTTTCATTCTGTGAAATGAAAGGAATGGAACATTATAAAATGATTCTATGCTGCACATCACCTACTGAATTACTAGAATTGCTTCCTACGGTAATTTGGAGGCTCTTTACACTCAAATGCTGACATGATTACAACCACTGACTGTTCCAGTTCTTTCCCCTTTGTGGGCTCTTTCTCTCACCACCCCCAGATTCAGACTTCTTGCTAAACAGTCGCCCTGGCTAACTCATCTATCCCCACAGGCTTCAATGATCATTTCTCTGCATGAGCCAACCTCTACTCTCATGCACCGTGCTTCCAATTTAGCTCATCACCTTCTCCACCAACCCCCCACAACGCCCCCAATAATCCCCTTCCTGGTGTCTTCTGTTAGTGTCATACCATTTTCCAGGTGCTCAGGCTTTGGACTCCTCTTTGTTCTCCTTTTTGCCCCATAAATCCAATCAATTGCTAAGCTCTGATTCCTTCTATCACTTGGATCTTCCTCTAGTCTCTCTCCACTCTTAATTTCTCCTACCTACTGCTGGCAGAGAAGTCTTCCTGAGTTACTCCCTGGGTAGAAAAGCTTTGATGGCTCATTATGCCCTATGCCTAAAGTCTCAACTCTAGCCTGTCCACAGCACCTCTGAGCCACTGTGCTTTCTATATAGAACGCCCTCCTTTCCCTATACCCTTATTAAAACCCTGCCCACCTTTGAAGGCTCCAGCCAAACACCATTTCTCCATGAAGTCTTTCCCTAATCTCTATGGACAAAAGTGAGCCCTCAGTCCTTTAAATTCCTGTCCCTCTCATGGATCTCTCCGCAGATGGAGGCAGAGACTGGGTGGTAAGCATTTTGTACCTCCCTGCAGAACCTAGCTTAAGGCAGGCATCCATCTACGCTGACTAAATGAGCTAACATAAAGGACTGTGGGTGAATCAAGTTTACAGCTACATTTCTGTGTTGAAAATAGCACTTCCCCAATACTATTTATGTGGATGAAAACAAAGACGTTTGGTGGGTGCTAAAGCAATTTGGCACTAATTGTTCACATGGTTGTTTATAAGCAGTACTTAGTAAGTGATCTGCTGAGGGAAAGGGAATATATGGAAAAATTCCCCTCGCCTTGCTGGCATGCGGAATGGGGATGAGGGATGGTGTCTCTACCTTCAGAGCCTCATGCTAAGCCCATCAGCATATGACCTCCGGTTCCTTTAAAACTGTTACCCTCAATTTTCTAGGGCTGAAGTCAGCATACATTTTCCCTACAGCTACTTGACCCTCACTTATCCCAGGTTACCCTCTTCTCTTTGCACTCTGCTCAGTCTCTTGTGGCTTAAATAATACAGTTGTTCAAGTTAGAAATCTGGCATGCATCCTTAACACTTCCTTCAACACCCACTAATTGACCCAAGTCCCATCAATTCTATTTTTAAAATAATTCTCTCATATATGAATGTTTGTGGCAGCATTATTCATGATAGCTAAAAAGGGGACACCACCTAACTGTCCATCGCTGGATGAATGGATAAACAAAACATGGTATGTGTGGTATGGTATGTACACACGCACACACACACACACACCATGGAATACTAGAATATTATTCACCCACAAAATGGAATAAACTACTGATACATGCCACAACATGGATTAAATTTGAAAACATTATGCTAAGAGAAAGAACCAGATACAAAAGACCACATATTATGTGTTTCCTTTTAGATAAAATAAGCAGAGTAAGGACAATAGATGAGTAGAAAGTACATTTGTGGTTGCCTAGGTCCGGCAGGTGGGAGGAATCCAGAAGAAATGGGGAGTGGCTGCTAATGAGTACAGGTTTCTTTCTGGGGTGATGAAAATGTTCTAAAATTGACTGTAGTGATGGCTGCACGATTCTGTGAATATACTAAAAGCCACTGAACTGTACAATTTGAATGTGTGGTATGTGCGTTATATCTCAACAAAGCTGTCACAGAAACCTTTTTATTGAAGTTAAAAAATATATTCTTCCCATATCCACCACCACCACCTTAGTTCAAGTTGTCACCACCTCTTATGAGAGACCACCACACAGCCTCCTAAGTGGTCTCCCTGCCTCTAGTCCTGCCCCCCTATAATCCATTCTCCCGATAATAATCAGGGTGTTCTTTAAAAAGCTTAAATGTGACCCTCCTATCGCTTCTCGGCCTTTTGGCTAGGATCAAGTGTAAATGTGACTCTCCTGCTTAAAACCCTTCATGGGTTTCCCACCACACTTCACACGAAAACCCCTCCTCCTCACCATGGCCTGTAAGGGACCATATGCTATGGCCTCTGCCTACTTCGGCAACCTCATGTTAAGTCATTCTCTTCCTTGCTTTAAATACTCCAGAGGTCCTCCAAGAGGCCAAATCCTTTCCCAGTGTGGGACTTGGCATATGCTTCACCCAAGAGGCTCTCCATTCCTTCTTTACCTGGACTTATCCTGTAGGTCAAAGCTGAAATATCACTTTCTCAGAAAGGCCGATCATTTTAATTTAATTCAATTTAATGCATGACTCTGTTTACTCAAATAGAACCATGGAGTTTTTTTTCTTCCTCCCTCACAGCACTTCTTCACGATCTGCACATTTAGGTCTGTCTGATAATTTGTTCACTGCCAGTCTTCCATGCTAGACAGTTAGCTCCATGAGGACAAGCGCTCTGTCTTATTCAATGCCGTCTGTACAGCTTGTGCTTTTCACTTAATACACATTTGATATCTGTTGAATGAGTGAATTTGCACAAAAACCTTGTTCCAACCTGCTACCCTTCGTTTAGAAGATTTGGCCACTACTACTCCTGTGACAGGAACGGCTGGAAATGACCCTGGGGGTGGGGGTGGGAAAGTCTTTGTATCAAATGTTTCCCGGGTGATTTGAAAACACACTTCTCACCTGCTCATTTTTTTCTATTTCCTGTAACTTAAGCTGCTCCAGGACAGACTGTAAATGACTCTGGAAAACAAATTGCATAAATGATGAATGCTGAGTCTCAAGGGAAAAGAGAACCAAGCGAAACAAAGAGTTCGGCAAATAATTTGTTAAGAAAATGGTCAGTTGTAACACAAGAGCACTCTTTTTAAAGGATTTAGAGTCTAAGAACTTGTACCCCTTAACTACAGAACCATCTGATTGGATTTTATAACCCTACACACAGCATTTTTTTTCTTGCCCTAAAATAAATGGTTGGAGTGCCTTCATGGCACCTTTTTTTAGTTTTAGCACAAATCCTTTGACTGTGGTGAACTATTTAAAAAGCTGGCTTGGAATTTGATGCTGACTCATTCATTTCCCTGCACTAGGGCAGAATAGTACTATTCCCAACTAGTACTTCATGCAACATCATAATAATACCATACAGCTGTATCTTCCAAAGTGTGTCCACATCTATCATCTCACTTGGTTATTCTAAAGGACAACACTCTAAAGAGGTACAGTTCTGTGTCACGTTGCTCCATTTTGATGACTACAGCTCTCCAAAAAATGAAATCTGGCAAGGAATTTTCCAGGTTCTTCAGACTTTCCCTCACTATAAAAAAGGATGCAAACATGGCCTAAACATACATTTTCCTTTGGTTGAAATATGTGTTAACAAAAATAAAGCAGGATAATTATTCTTGTTAAGGCATGCATCATAACATTTAAAAATGAATTTAGTTAATTTTCTTTCACTGCGATGAATATATTTTGGTACAAACAACAGGACTCAATCTATGTCTTACCACTTACTGTGGTCCTCGGCAAGTTACTTAACCTCTTTGAATTTCCAATTCCTTATCTATAAAATAGGACTAGTGACAGTACCTGTATTTCAGGAATGCAAGGATGAAATGAGATGATACATGGAAAATGGTTAGCTCTTTATGTGCCTTTCACATAACAAATGCTCAATATCAGTAGTTATCATCTCAGGTCTCCGGGTCTCTTCCCAGAATTGCTTATGCGAGATGATCAAGATTACTCAGGTAAAAGGAATAGGGTTATGTTTTATTAGGGGTTTCTAAAAGGTTGTTTTAGGTGTGCAAATGAATAAGAACGCCGCACAGACATAACATGAGTAGAAACACAAAGATGGGATTTTGAAAGTAAGATTTCAAGATATCTTTATCCCAGCCAACAGGACTTTACCTTGAGCATCAGGTTTTCCACTTTCATTAAGAGATGCCTCTGTCTTTGTGCTTTGCATCGAATCTCTTGGAGCTTTTTCTCCATGTAATAAATCTGCTTCTGAATATCCATGACTAATGGAGATAGACAGAAATTTTATCTAAACGTATAGCCTAAACTGGTGGACCGAGATCAAAATCAACTAAAACTCCACTACACATCTCAGCAATAACTTCTCAAACTTAGCCTTGCGTCTAACACGTGTTTAGAGTCCATCTTCAGCACTGCCACCCACTCTGTCCCACCCCTTTGGTTTTCCTCTGTAACCTACCTATTGAACTGGCTCCTTCCTTTGCCTCATACTGGCCAGATGCAAAGAACTTGGCCTGTAGCGCCCTCTCCAGATCCTCTTCATAATAATCGTCCTCCTCTTCCTCAACTTCGTACTCATCATCATAGTCATCCTCCTCGTCCTCCTCGTCCTCCTCGTCCTCCTCGTCCTCATCACTGTTACTGCTAGAATCACTGAACATCTCCTGAAGCATACCAAAGTCTATTGGTTTTAAGGAAGAGAAGGATAAAGCTCTATGAATCTTCAGATGACTCCCACTCTAGCTGCAGTTATACTCCCTCCCCTCAAATTCACTCAACCAATGCATTTTATAAATAATTTTCTTGACGGAAGATTATCCCCTTCCTAGAACAATGACAGGAAATGCAAAACACTAACATTCATTCATGCATTCAATGATCAGGACATTTAGGGGCGCCTGGGTGGCTCAGTCGGTTAAGCGACTGCCTTCGGCTTGGGTCATGACCCTGGAGTCCCGGGATCGAGTCCCGCATGGGGCTCCCTGCTCAGCAGGGAGTCTGCTTCTCCCTCTGACCTTCCCCCCTCTCATGTACTCTGTCTCTCTCATTCTCTCTCTCAAATAAATAAATAAAATCTTTAAAAAAAAAATGACCAGGACATTTAGAGTATCAAAGGGCCCCTGGGAATTTAGGATACCAGGGATGGGTGGGAGATTAGAACACCAATCTAAAACCCCTGAAGCACTGACGGACCAGTAAGAGGAAAGGAGGGCAAAGGCCTCCTTTTTTCTGTGATTGGCCTGTGAGTCTATGGAGACTGGCCTTTCACACAGTCAACACCTGCGCTTTCTGAAGCTCTTGTTTCGCTTTTATAGACGTACCTGATGAGATACGATCCTGCTTATAGTCACTCATTCCTGAGGATATTGCAAAGCCTGGGATAGAGCCTTGACTCTCTATTTCCTTGGTTTCATCTTCACCAATTACTTCCCATCCTGAAAGGTGGGTCAGTCAAGGAACAAGCAGAAAGAAAGGAGAAGGCCCAGTTGAAAGGGAAGAGGCTCTCCGGCTGAAAATGCTATTTAATTTAGTCCAACTTCAGGCCATTTGTATCTGAATTCCTAGTATGAAGAAATTTCTATCATATGAATTTACTGTTCCTAGCTAGGAAATAACATCTCCAAAAAATCTTAAGTTCCACACATCACAATTCACACACGAATACCAGAAGTGAGGGCTTGGTCAGCAAGTGCATGTGGGGTGGAAGAGACTACATGGAAAATATTTAGTATAAAAGGATACGAGCACTGACAGCTTCAGCATCTGAACACAGGAGTCTTTTCACTTCCTTTTCCACATCGGGAGACTCGATGTACTCAACCAAAGTGGGGGAAAGGGGAATACCAGTAAGGTCATTTACCACCCTGTCTTTTGCAGGAATGCCCTCTTCCTATATACAAATAAATTCAAATAATAAGGCCTCTTCAACATGCATACAACCAAATTTCAACTTTAAATAATGCTATTTACGAAGGAATCTTTGACCAGGGTCTAGGTTTTTGTATGGTAAGCTTATTTTTTTCCCCATTCCAACATATTACTTGAGACATTTAATCTTTTCAATCTGCAACTCTGTATTAAAGACCTCTCTCAGAGGCACAACCCTTGGGTCTTGGTTATTAATTATTTGCCCTGACCCATGTTGGCAAAGAACTACAATTCCTTATTTGTTATTTAACAGTAATTTGGTCTAAAGATCCAAATTCCCAGGGTTCACTTCTCCACATCTTTATTATTAAAGATTTTCCTATAAAAACTGGGTCTTAGCTACATGTTCTCCCTTAAATCCAATTTTAGACAATTATCTCCACAGCAACCAATTCGTCATGCCACAAATAGAAATTAGAACTTTGAGGGGGAATAAGCAATTGCAAACAACTGCTGGTAAAAGTGAACCCTGGCTTCCAAGAAATGGCTTTTAAAATAAGTACCAGAGGAAAAAAAAAAAAAAGCAGATTAGAATACAGAGTCACTAGCCAAATTGTATCTTTTCCTCTAGGAGTTATCACACATTAAACAATGAATCCATTTTTAAGTGAATCAAATTCAGTGTCTGTGCATGGCAGCAGCAGTTAGAGATGAAAAGGCAGGCTTAAAAGTAACCTTTATGGTTTCTTTGATTTGCCTGAAAGTAATAAGCAATGAAATAAAACCCACCAAGGGTCAACAATAAAGTTATATTATGATTGCTCTACCTCCGGAAAGCTGATTTCTTCAGTTGGTTTGAAATCAGGGAGCTACGAAATAAAACACAAACCATGAAGTTATATTACGATTGTTCTCCTTCACTAAAGCTTAAAGAATTGTAAAATTATTCTTAACTTAGTTTTATATTTAGTAGGTACTCAGTACATGCTGTTGACTGACAGTAGAAAAGCCAAGGCAACTGTGTTCATAGAGTGAGAGAGTCAACGCAATAAAGCTGTCAGTTCTCCCCAAATTGATCTCTATATAGGTTTAATGCAGTTCCTACCAAAATTCCAACAAGTTTTTCTATAGACATAGAAAACTTTTTCTAAACCTCAAACATACTCTAAAATTTATGTGGAAAGGTAAAGGCTCTAGAATGGCTAGAACAATCTTGACAAAGAAAAATAAAGAACAGTCTTGCTGATTTCAAGACTTATAGAGCTACACTGTGATATCAGAAGAAGGATCAACGTATAGATCAATGGAACAGAATAGGGAACCCAGAAACAGACACGCACAAATATGCTCAAGTGATTTTTGACAAGGTGCACAAGAAATACAATGGCAGAAGGATAGTCTTTTTAACAAATGGAGTGGGAGGAACTGGACATGCAAAATGCAAGAAAAAAAATGAACCTTGAACTAGGGGTGTTTGGGTGGCTCAGTCGGTTAAGCATCTGCCTTCAGCTCAGGTCATGATCCCAGGGTCTTGCTCAGTGGGGAGTCTGCTTCTCCCTCTGCCCCTCCCCTCACTCATTCTCTCAATCTCTCTCAAATAAATTTTAAAAACCTTCAAAAATTAGCTCAAAAATGGACTGCAGGCTTAAATGTAAAATGTTAAACTTTAGAAAAAAAGAAATAGAAAATCTTCAGGATCTGGGCTAGGCAAAGAGTTCTTAAACTTGACACAAAGGGAAGATCCTTAAAAGGAAAAATCAATACTTTGGACTTAACCCAACAAAAAACTTTTGCTCTTTGAAAGACCCTGTGGAGAAGATGAAAAGACAAACTATAGACTAGGAGAAACTATTTGCAAACATCTACAAATTTCCACAGACAAAAGACTAGTATTTGGAATATTAAAAGAACTCTTAAAACTCAATAATAACAAATCCATTTAGAAAATGGGCAAAAGGCATGAACAGACATTTCACTAAAGTGAACTATATGGATGGCAAAAAAACATATGAGAAGATATTTGACACCATTAGCTATCAGGGAAATACAAATTGATATCACAATGAGATCACTACCTCTATTAGAACAGCTAAAATAAAAAAATAGTGACAGACACCTAATTCTGATGAGAATGTAGAGTAGCTGGATCACATGTACACTGCTGGTGGGAATGTACAATGTTAAAGCCACTTTGGAAACAGTATGGTAGTTTCTTATAAAACTCAACATTCAAGGGGCACCTGGGTGGCTCAGTTGGTTAAGCGTCTGACTCTTGATTTTGGCTCAGATCAGGATTTTAGGGTTGTGAGATCAAACCCCACGTTGGGCTCTGCACCGGGCATGGAGCCTGCTTAAGATTCTCTCTCTCAGGGAGCCCGGGTGGTGCAGTCAGTTGAGCGTCCGACTCTTGGTTTCGGCTCAGGTTGTGATCTCACGGGTTGGGGGATGGAGCCCAGCATCAGGCTCCGCACTTAGTGAGGAGCCTGCTTGCATCTCTCCCTCTCCCTCTGCTCCTCCCTCCTCCACCTGCACGTGCTCTCTCTAATAAATAAATCTTAAAAAAAAAAAAGATTCTCACTCGCCCTCTCCTTCTGCCCCTCCCCCTTCTGAAAACAAAACAAAACAAAACTAAACATTCAAGTACCAGAAGGACCCAGCAATTGCACTCCTGGGCATTTATCCCAAAGATACAAATACTTATGTTCACACAAAAACCAGCTTGCGACTTTATTTATAATAGTAAAAAACTGCAAACAATTCAAATGTCCTCCAATGGGTGAACAGTTCAACAAGCTGTAGTACATCCGTACGATGGAATACTACTCAGCAATGACAGGAATGAACTATTGATACATGCAACAACTTGCATGGATCGTAAGGGAATTATGTTTAGTTGGGGGGGGAAGCCAGTATTAAACGTTACACATTGTATGACTCCATCTGTATGACATTCTGAAAATGACATTACAGAGATGGAGAACATAACAGTGATTGCCAGGGGTTAGAGACTGTGGGAGTGGGGTAGGAGGGAGATGAGTGTGACTATAAAAGGGCGATGGGGCACCTGGGTCGCTCAGTCGGTTGAGCGTCTGACTCTTGGTTTCAGCTCGGGTCATGATCTCAGGGTCTTGAAATCAAACCCTGCATCGGGCTCCACACTCAGCGGTGGGTCTGCTTGAAGATTCTCTCCCTCTGCCCTTTCCCCCACTCATTCTCTCTCTCTAAAATAAATAAATAAGTCTTTAAAAAATCTTTTAAAAAGGGGTGAGAGGAGGGATCCTTGTGGTAACAGAACTGCATAGTATTTTGACTGTGTAGGCAGATACACGAACATACACATGGGATAAAACTGCACAGAACTAAACATACACACACACACACACAAACACAAGTACAAGTAAAACTGGAGAGATTGGTGAATTGTATAATATCAATTTCCTGTTTGTGATAATGTACCATAGTTTTGCAGAAAGTTACAATGATGAAAACTGGATAAAGGTTACATGGTATCTCTCTTTTATTTCTTACAACTGCATGTGAACCTACAATTATTTCAAAATCAAAAGTTAATTCAAAAAAGAAGAAGCCAAGCCACAATAATCCTGTAGCTTGCCCAAGGTTCTACAAGTCTGAGGTAAGGTTAGGAATATAACCACAGTTCTCAATTCTCAGGTTCTAGATGGGGTCACCATAAAACTAGGTCTTGCAATTGAAAACTGAAAGCATTAGCAGAAGTTTCAAATTCATGACACATCCAGATCCCTAAATGATCAGGTCTGGTTTTTGTTCAATATAGAATCCCAACTGCTACCACACAGTGCCTGGCATTTAGCTCACAATAAATCTTTATTGAACATATAAAGGAATGAAAAAATTAATCCCAACTGACTGTCTCCCTTTCCTCCCCACTCATAATCCTCTCCAATCCACCCAGTAGACACAGAAGTAGCATGCAACTAACCTTTTTTGTTGTTTTGCGGAACCTTTTCTTTCTGACATTCTTAAGTGGTGGAGTAACTAAAATAAATTCAACATGGTGAAATGTATATATGACTGTTGGTAGTCACACATCTATCTGAATTTGATAAAGAGAAAGGTCACGCTATAAGCCACTAGCTCATGACATGATCTGTTCCTTTAAGAGTGTCTGGATGCCTAACGAACCAAACACCTAAGTGTGGTAACAGGTCCCTGGCTCACGAGTAATTAGGATTCAGCAGATAAATGTAGTCAGCCAGAATGAGCAAACGGCTGGTGACTTACTGCCATGCTTCCAGACATATTTTTTCTGTCTCTCTCTTTCATTTTTCCTGATTACTTTAAGATCAGTAGAGGTAACTGGTTCTTGCAGAGGAGAGTGGAGATCACCATCAGCAGTGCACACAAGCATCTACATTTAACAAAGATAAAGAAGTTGACTACGGCCACAAATCTTGGGTTAGTAATGAATCGTGATCATTTTTACTACCAGAAATCCTGGAGCACAGAAGTAAGGAGAATGTTACTTGGCATTTCCAGAAAACCAAGTATTAATATACATACATATTCATTCTCTCTGTCTGTCTTGGCAGCACTGTATATGGATTCTGGGTTTTCTTTTTATTTATTTGTTTGTTTTAGCTCAAATGCTTACCACTGCAGAGGAAATATGTTCAAAACAAATACATCTTAGCATTTTGATTTAGAAGACAAACAAGAAATCAACAAGATGATGAAAAAGAACAAATATAATCTCCAGAGTTCACAGCATCTTGCTCTAGCAGAAAGTTCAGAAGAAGATCCCAGATCCTCATTTTTTCAGATGAAAATCATTATAAATGGCAAACATAAACCTTTATTATCTAAAAGCTATTTGGATAAAATTACGTAGTCAAAAGTTATGGCTCAAACACCAAACCAGAACATGACATTGTATTCCTGTGCAATTGAGCTGGAATTAGAAATAAGCAGCCGTTCCCCAAGTGGGAAGGAGGACTGAAAGAAAAAGTAGGGAGAAAGGGATCCCTTGAACAATGTAAGAGCTAGTAGATTAAGAAAACTCGTCCATACCTGAGAAATATCTGCTGTTTTATAAAAAGTTTTTTTATCAAGAGTTTTCAGGCTTCCAATAACGCATGGCAAATCAACCACCTTTGCAGCTAGCGAGACATCTTCTACCTCAACAACTGCATGACGTCCATCAGCTGAAGAGAGGTAGGAAAAATTAAAGTTGACATCTTCCCAATGCATTCTTAAGCTTCCTAGAGTTTGAGTAATGAAGACTTATGTGGGACAGACTAGTCTTTCAGCGAACTCTACTATTTCTCATAATGCTAGAATTGTGTATGTAATCAGTAACTTCCCAGAGAAAAGAAGGCAGGGTATATGTTTATGCTACTCGATCAAAAGTAGCTAAGTTTCTTTGTAATCACTGTGAACTAAATGCAGATAAAGTGGTAAGCATTTCATTCTCCTACTGAAAGGCAAACTGCATTCAAACCCATTCATTTTGACACCATCATAAGCACTCACTTATGTCATTGCACATGGGTATGTCGAGTGAAGGGTTGAGTGAAGGAAGGGTTGATCCCAGAATGGTGCTAGTAAATCTGAAGTTACCTTCACAAAGCTATTAGTCTACACAATATCCATATATGGTAGGAATATATATATATTCATATACTGACAACCCTGATTCCTGCCCAGATGTCTCAAACATGAATGTCCTTTAACACAAGAAGATTCAAGTGAAATCTTCTAATAGTAAGTGAAAAAGAAAAATGCAGAATGATGTTGGACATGATTCTTTTTGTGTCTTTAATTCTTTAAAGTAACTTTAAAGATACAGATGATTTAAATGTTGGTATTGTGCATAAAAATTTTGTCTGTAAGGAAACACAAGGAGAAACAATTATTATTAGTTATCTTTGGCATTAACACTGGAGCACTGCAAAGGAGAGGTTCACTCTTCTTTTTGAACTCTTCTATTTTATTTGAATTTTCTAACCATGAACTTGTATTACCTTTTTAAAAATGTTAATAAGGGCTACCTGAGTGATGGTATTATAGACCATTTTAAATTTTCTTCTTTATATACTTCTCTGTACTTAAAACACCTAATAAATATTATTTAAAAGAGAGAAAGATATGTCACTTTTATAAACAAAGAACAGTATTAATTTGTCATTCCCCTGGACAGTTAGAAATCACAAAGCCAAACAGCAGTAGACAAATCACACAGTTGGCCCCCATGTTTTTCCTTATACACACTATATTAATTACCTCAAATTACATAATTTCTACTTCCTTTCCTCAGTAAGAAGCTATGAAAGTGACTTAAAGCTTCTTAAGACTTCTTAGAGGCTATCAAGGCAGAGACTATATTCTGTTCTTTGTCATATCCTTAGTATGTAGTATAGTGTCTGGCACATAGCAATCCCAGAATAAATTACTGTTCAATGTATGGTAAATAGACAGTCACTACTTACAAGATAAGTCAATTTTGAGTTTATCCTTCATGGCAACACTTCTAGAATGTAGTATCTTCCTGACAGTAGATGCATGTTCCTAAAAAGAAGGGAGGTTGAAAAATCAGAAGGATGAATTGTCTACTTGGCAACTAATAGAAGAGATATGTCACAGACAGTCCTCCCTTAAATAAAACCTTAAACCTGCCAAATGTTAAGAACAATGCCATGCACCTTGGCATACCATGCACTGTGTAAGACAAGTTAGGATGAGGCTGACTCTAGTCTCAGTGTTGTTTCTTAGTAGCTACAGTTAATGCCTTCTTCTAGCTCTACATTCCTGCCTCTCACGGCTGTCCTTCAGTTGTAGTTACTAAGGAAAGGCTTAGCTGCAGGTTACTGGGTATATTAAGTAGCCCTAATTGGGAAAATACCTTTCTGAAACCCATCTTTAATATAGCTTTCTTAGACTAAATATGACTTGAATGCAGGTATCAAAGGGAGAAGAGACCCTAACACAATGTTAAGATGAGCTTCAACAGCCTGGCATGGTGATAAATTTGAGGAAATAGTGATGGTCCTTCTGACTGCCCCTTTGGAGGTGACAGAAAGGATTTTAAAAGAGTCTTATCTTGGCTGTCCAGTGAACAGGCTGTTAGCACCTCTGGTAAGTGACTGAATCCCTCACTGTCACAGCCGTTTGCCAGGAAATCAGCCCACATGATAGGTAGCATGTACAGGATGAAAGAAATTCTGCTAAAAGAGTACACACTAGGATAGGACTGTTGAATAGAGTGTGATTCCTGGGAAACAAATGTTCTTAGTTTTTATAGCATATCTTAAATAGAAATACCACAGAATCCAAGCAGAGCTAATACATATGCACTGAAGATATTTGGTCTGAGATACAAGGGTTTCTTACCGGAGGCAGACGCAATATAAACTGGTTCTCAAGTTCGTGAAGAGGTTCATCCTGGCTTTTACTCATCTCTTTGTTTTTGAGTTCATGAAAGCAAAAAAATCGACAGAAAAGTGACCAAAAACTCGTCTTGCTCCCTCTGCTGACCACTTCTGGTAGCACTGGTTACATTATACAAGATCTTGTCCATAACCCTCACTGGAATGACTTGTGCACAGCTTTGAAGTCTCTTATTTGACATAACTTGATTATTTCTAAAAGTCACCTTATCTCCCCTCTAATATTTGCAGACTTTCCAAGGATAGTCCAAATTACATGATAACAAATGAAGTAATAGTTGTTATGAAACATGATTTAGTCTTCTTAATGATATTCTTAGACTCTTAGGTAAAGGACCACAATTCATCAACTCAGTGGTGGCTCCCGAAGCAAACTACATGCCTCTGCAGGGAAGAGTGCCAACCAAAGGCCAGAATCAACCAAAACCACAGGCAGAAATGTTCTATGATGATTTGAAGGAAAGAGCATAATTTTTAATATTTCATTCACCCAAACGGATTGGTAGGAATTAAGCCCATGGGAGAGCAGTAGCTTTTACAACTCTAAAGTCAGCATCAATGGCTCTGGGCTATCTTGGAGAAAAGTTAGGAGTCCAGTTCTTATGGCTAGGCCATCTATATGAGTACACTTAAGTTCATGGAATAGACACTTTCTTGAAGGGGTGATATGAAAGATCAGAAAACCCAATTAATCAACTCATTATTAACATTTACTGTGTACATTCTATATGCCAGGCACATCACTGAGTGCATTAGATCTATTATTTCATTTAATCCTCATAACCACCACTTACTTGAAATACCCCTAAAAGTTATTTAAAGGAATCTTAAGATGGATCCCTTTATTTAAAAAAAAACAAAAACAAAACTTCTGTAAAGTGAATAATCTCATCAATGTTCATCTTTATTTTTAATTTTACTTTCCATCTATTTGGGATATATCTGTAAGTGACTTGCATGTTGGGCTCACACTTCTGAGGAAATTTTTTCTCAAAAGGTGGAAAGCAATATACATTTATGAAACCTGACAAGGTCTTCCTATGCTCTAAGGACATTATTCTATACACCAAGTTATAAAATATTATACCTTAAATTAGATTAAAATCTCCAGTTAAGCACAGCTCCCAATACTCCCAATACACAGTAAACCATTTGAATCTCACTTAAAAGCATTGGAACCATTTTTAAAAACACATGCAAGTGAGTCTGAGACCCTATTATGGTGAAATCATTCACCAGTCCTTTAGTATGACTTCAGAAACTACCAGAAAGGCATTGAAAGCAAAAGAGAGGTCAGCCGTGGAAAAGGAGACACCCAGGATGAGAGAAATTTGATTATTTGTGATAGTCAATTCTTCTCTTCCTGCTTATATAAAGTTATACACACACACACACAGAGAGAGAGAGAGAGAGAGAGAGAGAGAGAAACTGTGAACATAAGGAAAAAATTAATTAAATAAAAATCTTGGGGCTGGGCACACTGCCTAACAGAACGAAAAGTAGCAAATACAAGGTTGGGGGCAGAAATACAGATTATTTGAAGAACTAGCTGCTAAGCAAGATTTTATCAGATCAGAAGTAACTTAGATTTTTCAGCAGAACTAAGACTAGGGCTTTTTGTTCATTTCAAGGCCTTTCTGGCAACTCCTCTCTTAAGAAAGAAAGAATGTAAGAATCAAAACTATTTCAGAGAAGGTGGACGACCCTAGTTGAAATGAGTTTTAATTATTTGTAAAATTTTTTACCTTTTACTTTCATTTACCCAATGAACCCGGTGTATTGTATTTCTTTTAGGAAAAGACATCCTTTTTTTTTTTTTTTTCAGACAAGCACTCTTTGATAAGTAATTAAACTAACAGGACCGCTCTCCACCATTCATCCCCAGCTCCATCTCGTTTCAGCGAAATCAGAATTGGAATTAGAATTACAGCTAGCTGGAGGGTGCCTAACAGCATGCTCCAGGCAGCACAAGTCAGCACAAGCCTAAATTGGTATTTTCTCAAGTTCATAGCCGCTGGCTGCAATTTGGAGGCAATGACCACTCCATCCTTATCCCAGGGGCACTCAGCTTCCAAGGAAGAGTCCAGCTCCTAGGCCCTGATCCAATTTCCCTGGAAAACCTCCCGCGGGGCTCAGGGTCCCGAGCCTTCGCGCCTCGCCGTCCAGGCGGGCTGGGGAGGGAAGTGCGGCGCGCGGGAGCTGGGCGCTGACCCGGCTGGGGAACCCTCTGCCGGCCCCGACTCACCCGCGGCTCCGCTGACTCGCGCCAGGACCGGAAAGGCTGCGCGGCGAGGGGGCAGGGAGGGAGGCGGGGAGGGGGGGGGGAACCCGCCTCTCTTCTCTGGGTTGGTGGGGGCGGGTTCCGGCAAGGGCGTGAGTGGGCTCACGGGCAGCGGGCGTGGAGGCGGGCTGCGGACCCACGGCGTGGCGACAGGTAGGAGCCGCGCGCGCCGCCCCTCCCCGCCTAGCCACGCCTCCTGGGCCGGGGCCTGACTGGACCCGCGGGTGGCCTCGAGGAGGCGGCCGGTTCACCGCGTGCCAGGGCAGGGAGGCTTGAAAGGCGCTGAGCGCGGCGGGGACCTTGCTGAGCAAAGCTTCCAGACAAACTCCTTTTACAGGGAGGCGGCCTTCGGGGCGGCCGCGGGAGTCTTAGCGGTACACAGTGATATTTGTAAAAGGGGCGGTACATTTGCTTGCTCGTCGAAGCCGTTAGGTTGGACAGATTTGTTCCTTGACGAGATGACCTCGCCTGGTGACAAATACGCCGCCGCGCAAAAACCATTAAATAACTGGAATCCGCGCCCAAACTACTCTCACCTAATTAGCTGCTCTCTTCTCAAGAGAGTCACCACTGTACGTCTTTCAGACAGGGACACTAGTGACACGGCTTATTTCTCCTAAAGGGAGTCTCAGTTCAAATAAACTTTTAGCAGTTTTCTCCCCCAAAATATCCTTAACCTGTGAGGTTAAATAAATAAATAAATAAAGCCCCTTACCTTTCCCTTCTGGTAAGTTTTCCGGAGGAGCTGTGGCACCAGCCTGGGTGCTGCCGTCGGCGTCCGCTTGGGTGACATGGTCGGCAGCAGTTTGGGTGACTTGGTAGCTGGCATTTTCGGCGCCCTGGACGCCGACGGTTTCAGCCCCGTTGTCGACAGAAATTTGGGGATCTTGCGAGCCGGTTACTTCTGATGTTGAAACTGTTGGTGTGGAATCATTTTCCAACAGGTCCGGAGGCTGTCCCTCAGGGTGCTCCATGATCTACTCCTTGAGGTTCTAAAATGGCTTCCTATTTAGTCATGTGACCCTGAAGGTTCCAGAACTTTCATAAAAAAAAAAATGATGTCAAAGCTATCCTCCTTAAAGACATAGGGATAATATTAAGGAACATTACCGGTGCCTGTTAAAGATGATGGCGGTGAAATCTCTACTGCCTAATACATATCTAAACTTAATCATATGGGATAAATATTTTTGGAAGACTCATTATTGTACAGTCATTTCTTCTGGGTAAGATTTTCATTCAGTGAAGCTAAATTATGCGAAGTTTCAGACCTAGCCAAAATTGTTTTGGTCCCTTTTGGAATCCATCCACTGATCTTTATTATCAAGGGTTGTAATACAAAATAGACCAATGAAACTCATTTTTCATGTAGTGTACTATATTCTTGAAGGCATTTATATCACACAATAGTTCTTTAATAATTCAAAGGAAGGGGGCGCCTGGGTGGTTCAGTGGGTTAGGTGTCTGCCTCAGGTCATGATCCCGGCGTCCTGCGTGCTCAGCGCCACCTAGGGCTTCCTGCCCAGCGGGAGCCCGCTTCTCCCTCTGCCTCAGCCTGCAGCTCCCCTTGCTTGTGCGCTCTCTCTCTCCCTCTCTCTCTCGCTCTCTGTGTGTGTCAAGTAAATAAATAAAATCTAGAAAAAATAATTCAAAGGAAAAATTCCTTTTTTGGTAACTGAAATAGCTGAGTAATTGTGTTTTGAATCATAGACCATGTGAATTAATGTAATTAACTTTCCTTGTGATAGCTGCTAGGCAGCTCAGAACCAATTTTACAACCCACCTCCAACCACTGTGAACTTTATTGGCATATGCTGATCTTTCTGTTATCTTAAATAACCATATCCTCTCTGGGGCGCCTAGGTGGCTCAGTCGTTAAGCATCTGCCTTCCCCTCGGGTCTTGCTCCCAGGGTCCTGGGATCAAGCCCCGCATTGGGCTCCCTGCCCAGAGGGGAGTCTGCTTCTCCCTCTTCCACTCTCCCTGCTTGTGTTCCTTCTCTCGCTGTCTCTCTCTCTGTGAAATAAATAAATAAAATCTTCAAAAAAATAAAAATAAATAACCATATTCTCTCCCAATCCTCTAATTATTTTTATCTTATGCAGTAACACCGAAAGCTGCTTCAAAACGTTTTTTTTTTTTTTTAAAGATTTTATTTATTTGACAGAGAGAGAGCACAAGCAGGAACAGCAGGCAGAGGGAGAAGCAGACTCTCCTCTGAGCAGCAGGGAGCCCAACACAGGGCTTGATCCCAGGACCCTGGGATCACAACCTGAGCCAAAGGCAGAGGCTTAACCTACTGAGCCACCCAGGTGCCCCAGGTTTTTATTTTTTATTTTTTAAAGTAATCTCTACACCCATTGTGGGGCTCAAACTCAAGACCCTGAGATCAAGAGTCTACTGACTGAGCCAGCCAGGCACCCCTCAAAACTTTTTTAAAAAGAGAATCAGAGAGGCACCTGGGTGGCTCACTCAGTTAAGCGTCTGCCTGGGGCTGAGGTCATGACCCCAGGGGCCTGGGATGGATAGCCCCATGTAGGGCTCCCAGCTCTGCAGGGAGCCTGCCTCTCCCTCTCCCTCTGCCTGCAGCTCCCCCTGCTTGTGATCTCTTTCTGTCAAATAAATAAATAAATAAAATTTTTTTTTAAAAAAGAGAGAGAATCAGAGAGGTGCCTGGCTGGCTCAGTCAGTAGAGTGTGTAACTCCTGATCTTGGGAGTCCTGAGTTCAAGCCCCACTTGGGTGTAGAGATCACTTTAAAAACATTAAAAGAGGAGAGTCAGATATAAATAGTAGATAAATAAAAAAGTACTCTGACAGAAGTGTTATGGGGAACATCCCTATAGGTAGAGGAAGGGAACAGTAACTGCTCATGTATAAATTCAATCATCCAACAAATGTTAGTTGAAAATCTCATGTGCCAGACTAGATTTTAAATATTTATTAGATGCTTAAAATATGGTAAGAGTTTCATGGAAGGAGGCAAAAATTACCCTTAAGATACAGGCATACATATATGTAATTTTTCCTCTATTGCCAGATTTCCAGCCCCTTCTTAAGGAAAAGGGGATGAAATGTGCAAGAAGGAAAAGGGCATGAAAATTGTGGTTTCTCTTGCTGGAAGAGAGCTGATCCAAGAAGTAGCACTGATGTACAGATAGAAAACCTGTCATATGCATATTATCATATTGTCAAATAGATACAGAATATATTTCTGGGCTCTGTTCTGTCATGTTGCTATCTTTCCAATAAGTTCTTCTGGACCCCATCCTCTCCCCCAACTGTGACTTTGACCAATTTCATCATTATAGCAAATATGCAGTTGCATGTATTCCTTCAACAGAAATGTGTTCAGTTATGTGCCAGAAACCACTCTAAGGTTAATAATAGCTAACATTCATTGAGCACTTATTAGATGCTAAGCTCCTTACTAAGTATTTTGTATGTATTATTTCATCTAACCCTCCCAATTGCTCTGTGAGTTTGGTATGATTATGATCCTGGGGTTTTTTTTTTTTTCCAGATAAACTGAGATTTGGAAAGGTTAATTAACTTGACCCATGTCACACATGTAGTAAATGGTGGAGCCAATACGTAATGTAATCCCAGGTCCCTTGACTGTGTTGATGTTTACAAAGACTTCCCCTACACAATTAGATGTACAGTTATTCCCCCATTTTCTGCCCCCCCAGCCCCTAGTAACTTCTATTTCACTTTCTGCTTCTATGAGTTTGCCTACTTTAGGTACCTCATATAAGTAGAGTCATAATATTTGTCCTTTTGTATCTGGATTCTTTCACTTACTCATACAATGGGTTGGGAAGTATTTTCTCCTCGTATATTTTGGAATAGTTTGAGAAATGTAGGAGTTAATATGTTTAATGTTTGGTAGAATTAATCAATGAGGCCATCTGATTCAGAGTTCTTCTTTGTTGGGAGGTTTTTGATACTGACTTCATCTCCTTATTGGTAATAAATCTGTTGAGATTTTCTATTTCTTTATAATTCAGTTTCAGCAGCTGTGTGTTTCTAGGAATTATTCCATTTCATCTAGGCTGTTCAACTTGCTGATACATAATTGTTAATAGCATTCTCTTGTAATCCTTTTTATTTCTGTAAAATCGACAGTAATGTCCCCAGCTTCTTTTCTGGTGTTATTAAGTCTTCTCTCTTTTTGTCTTAGTCTATCTAAAGATTTTTCAATTTTGTTGATAACTTCAAAAAAATCTACTTTTGGTTTCATTGATTTTCTCCATTGTTTTTCTATTCTCTATTTTATTTATCTTTGTTCTAATCTTTAATATTTTCTTCCCTCTGTTAGCTTTAGGTTTAGTTTGTTCTTCTTTTTCTTGTTCCTTAAAGTGTATAAAGTAAGGTTGTTGATTTAAGAAGTTTCTAAATGTGTTTTTAGCTAAAACTTTCCCTCTTAGCACTGCTTCTGCTACATCCTGTAAGTTTTATTATGTTATGTTTTCATTTTCATTGGTCTCAAGTTATTTTCTAATTTTCCTTGTGATTTCTTCTTTGGCCCAATAGTTATTTATTCTGCCAATCTTTCTGCCTTTTGATTGAAGAATTTAATCCATTTGCATTTAAAGTAAATTCTAATAAGGAAGGACTTCTGACATCTTACTATTTGTTTTCTACATGACTTATAGGGGGTTTTTATTGTCTCTGATTTCCCTTTGTGTTTCGTTCCTTTTTTGTAGTGACACGTTTTGGTTCCCTTCCCTTCCTTCTTTTTTTTTTTTTTTTTTTTTATAACCTTCCCTTCCTTCTATAGATATTTTCTTAGTGGTTACCATGGGGAATACATATAACATCTTAAAGTTATAAAAATCTAATTTTAATTGATACCAACTCGACTTCAATTGTATAAAAAATTCTACTTCTGTTTATAGCTCTGTCCTACCCTTTATGTTCTCAATGTCACAAATTCCACCTTTATAAATTGTGTGCTCAATAACATAGACTTATAATTATTGTTATGTGTTTGTCTTTTAAATACTGTAGAAGATGAAAAGAGGAGTTACAAACCAAAAATATGATAATACTGGCTTTTGCATTTGCCTCTGTAGCTACCTTTGCTTTGTTTATTATTTTATCATATGGCTTTGAGTTACTGTCTAATGTCCTTTCATTTCAGCCTGAAGGACTCTGTAGCATTTCTTGTAGGGCAGATCTACTAGTAACAAATCAGTTTTTTTTTTATCTGGGAATGTCTTAATTTATACTGAATTTCTGAAGTGTAGTTTGACAGATACAGAATTCTTGCTTGACAAGTTTTTTTCCCAGCACTTTGAATATGTGACCCCATTGCCTTCTGGCCTCCATGATTTCTGAAGAGAAATAGACTGTTAATCATATTGAGTCTGTCATGTATATCATGAGTCACTTCTTTCTTTATGCTTTCAAAATTATCTCTTTGGCTTTGGCTTTTGACCATCTGACTATAATGTATCTGTGTGGGTCCCTTGAGTTTATCCTGCTTGGAGTTTGTTAGCTTCTTGGCCTGTAGATTCATGTATTTCATCAAATTTGAGAAGGTATCAGCTATACTTTCTTCAAATATTCTTTATTCCCACCTTTTCTCTCTTCTCTCCCTCTGGAAATCCCATTATTTATATGTTAATATGTTTGATAGTGTCCCACTAGTTCCTTAGGCTCTATTAATTTTTCTTCATTCTTTTTTCTTCCTGCTCCTGAGAGTGGATAATCTGGATTGATCTATCTCCAATTTCACTGACTCTTTCTTCTGCTTGCCCAAATCTTGCTCAAAACTCTCTCCTCTAGGGAATTTTTCTTTTTTTAATTTTTCTTTTATTTATTTTTTAAATTTAAATTCAATTAATTAACATATAATGTATTATTGGTTTCAGAGGTAGAGATCAGTGATTCATCAGTCTTATATAATACCCAGTGCTCATTACACTGCATGCCCTCCTTAATGTCCATCACCCAGTTACCCCATCCCCA